GGGGGAGGAGAAGAGAGAGAGGAAGGCACAGAATCTGAAATAGCTCCAGGCTCTTAGCTGTCTGCACAGAACCTGATGTGGGGCTCAAACCCACAAACTATGAGATCATGACCTGAGCTGAAGTCAGACGCTCAACTGACTGAGCCACCCAGGTGCCCCCTTTTTTTAACTTTTTATTTTTATTTGTTTTTTTTTTTTTAATGTTTTATTTATTTCTAGGAGAGAGAGACAGCGTGAGCAGGGGAGGGTCATAGAGAGAGGGAGTCACATAATCCGAAACAGGCTCCAGGCTCTGAGCTGGCAGTCAGCACAGAGCCTGACGTGGGTCTCGAACCCATGAACCGCGAGATCATGACCTAAGCGAAAGTTGGACGCTTAACTGACTAAGCCACCCAGGCGCCCCTTTTTTTAACTTTTTAAATGTTTATTCATTTTCACGCCAGAGACAGAACATGAGTGGGGGAGGGGCAGAGACAGAGAGGGAGACACAGAATCTGAAACAGGCTCCAGACTCTGAGCTGTCAGTGCACAGCCTGACGTGGGGCTCAACCTCGAGAATGGTGAGATCATGACCTGAGCCGAAGTCAGATGCTTAACCGGACTGAGCCACCCAGGCGGCCCAGCAGTTGGATTTTTAACAGCTCTTCAGGTGATCCTGATGCGTGGTCAATGTAAGAGCCACTGGCCCGGGTTCTCAAACCTGCTTGCCTGTCAAAATCTCCTGAGAGCTGTTTTGTGGGGTTTTATTTTATTTATTTATTTTTTAAAATACTTTATTGCTTTTATTATTTATTTATTTATTTATTTATTTATTTTTACAAATAGTTTATTGTCAAGTTGGTTTCCATATAACACCCAGTGCTCATCCCCACAAGGGCCCTCCTCCATGCCCATCCCCCCTCCCCCCACATCCATCAGTCCTCAGTTTTTGTCAGCATTCAAGAGTCTCTCATGGTTTTCCTCTCTCCCTCTCCCCCACCATTTCCCCCCTTCTTCTTCCCTCCCATGGTCCTCTGTTAAGTTCCTCCTAATCCTCCTATATGTGCAAACATATGATATTTGCCCTTTTCTGCCTGACTTAATTTCACTCAGCATAACACCCTCAAAGTCCATCCATGCTGCGACACATGGCCAGATTTTATTCTTTCTCATTGCCATGGAGTATTCCATCGTATAGATCAACCGCATCTTCTTGATCCATTCATCTGTTGATGGGCACTTAGGCTCTTTCCATGTTTTGGCTATTGTTGAGAGTGCTGCTATGAACATTGGGGTACATCTGCCACTGTGCATCAGCACTCCTGTATCCCTTGGGTGAATTCCTAGCAGTGCTATTGCTGGGTCATAGGGGAGTTCTATTGTTCATTTTTTGAGGAACTTCCACACTGTTTTCCAGAGGGGCTGTACCAGTTTGCATTCCCACCAACAGTGTAGGAGGGTGCCCGTTTCTCCACATCCTCGCCAGCATCTAGAGTTCTCTGATTTGCTCATTTTAGCCACTCTGACTGGTGTGAGGTGGTATCTCAGTGTGGTTTTGATTTGTATTTCCCTGATGAGGAGAGATGCTGAGCATCGTTTCGTGTGTCTGTTGGCCATCTGGATGTCCTCTTTGGAGAAGTGTCTGTTCCTATCTTCTGCCCATTTCTTCACTGAGTTGTTTGTTTTTTGGGCGTGGAGTTTGGTGAGTTCCTTATAGATTCTGGATATTAACCCTTTATCTGATATGTCATTTGCAACTATCTTTTCCCATTCCGTTGGTTGCCTATTAGTTTTCTGGGTTGTTTCCTTGGCTGTGCAGAAGCTTTTAATCTTGATGAGGTCCCAAATATTTATTTTTGCTCTTGATTCCCTTGGTTTTGGGGATGTGTCAAGTAAGAAGTTGCTGCGGTGGAGGTCAAGGAGGTTGTTTCCTGCTTTCTCCTCTAGGGTTTTGATGGTTTCCTGTCTCATGTTCAGGTCCTTTATCCATTTTGAATTGATTTTTGTGCATGGTGTGAGAAAATGATCTAGTTTCATTCTTCTGCACGTTGCTGTCCAGTTCTCCCAACACCATCTGTTAAAGAGGCTGTCTTTTTTCCATTAGAGGTTCTTTCCTGCTTTGTCAAAGATTAGTTGGCTGTATACCTTTCGGTCCAGCTCTGAGTTCTCAATTCTATTCCATTGGTCTATGTGTCTGTTTTTGTGACAATACCATACTGTCTTGATGATGACAGCTTTGTAGTGGAGGCTAAAGTCTGGGATGGTGATACCTCCCGTTTTGGTTTTATTCTTCAATATTACTTTGGCTATTTGGGGTCTTTTGTGGTTCTATTACAAATTTTAGGATAGTTTGTTCTAGTTTTGAGAAGTATGCTGGTGCAATTTTGATTGGAATTACATTGAATGTGTAGATTGCTTTGGGTAGTAATGACATTTTAAAAATTTATTATTATTAACTTAATTTTAAGATAAAATAAGCTTCACTTTTAAAACAACTTTAGATTTACAGCACTTTTGGGACAATGGTACAGAGAGCTCCTGTATACACCACACTCTGCTTCCTCCTAACACCTTACATTAGTGTGGTGCCTTTGCTACAGCGATGAACCAGGAATAGAGCATCGTTATTAACCAAAGTCCACACTTTATTCAGGTTTCCTTAGTTTTTGCTTAATGTCTGTTCCAGAAACCCATCTAGGGATTGTCGTGTCTCCTTGGGTTCCTCTGGGCTGTGACAGTTTCTCTGACATTCTGGTTTTTGATGACCTCAATGGTTTTGAAGCATACTGATTATTTTGTAGAGCACCCCTCAATTCAGATTTGCATAAACTTTTACTCCCGCCTAGACCGGGGTCATAGGTTTGGGGAGGGAGACCACACACACCATACGGGCACACGCCATCACTGTGACTCTTCACTGTTGACATTGGTCTTTGTCACCTGGCGGGGAGGGGTTTGACTTCTCCATCTGCCCCAGTCAGGTGTCTCCACTCTCCAGCTACTACTCCCGTCCCCAAACTTTTCACACTGTGCCATGTGGAAGGAAGTCACTGGGCACAGCCCACACTTAGAGAGTGGGCCTTTAGGCTCCCCCTCCCTGTGGGCAGAGAGTTTACATAAACTGGAATTCTTGTGTATGGGAGATTCACCTCCTCTCTCCCATTTATTTACTAATTTAATGATTTATTGACAGCAGTATGGACTCCTGGATATTGATATTCAGTTAGAATGCAATACTTTGTTATGTGGTTCAAGTTGGTGCATCTGTGGCCATTGGGAGCTCCTTCAGTCGGCTCCCTGTGTCCTTTTGACATGCCTCATCATTGGGGAGGTTATTCTTTTACTCTTTTTTATTTTTTGCTACTTCCTCGGCCACTACCAGCTTATCTCGTGTGTTTCCTGCCCCAGGCCTAGAGTCAGCCATTTCTCCAGGGAGTCCCTTCTATTGAGAATGGTATCGGAGACAACATCTGGGGCCTAAGTGTGCCCACTGCTTGGGATGTCATTGGTTATGGGCCTTTTCCACTGACAGAGCAAGGTCATACATGCGTGTGTACTACTCTGTGCAAGCACACATACCTGTAACTACGAGTGTAACTGTCTGTATCTGTATTAAGCTGAGTGTGAGTTCATACTGATGCCTTCTGCTCTGAATCCACCGGCCCATGGATCATTCTAGCCCCCTCCCCTCACCTATCTGTAACCGCACACTCCAGCGGTCAGAAGTGTGGTTCCTACCATCTGCCATCCATGTACTGAATTGTCCAGTTCCAGCACGCCTGGATGACGGTATTGGAATTCTGAAGCCTCGCCTGCCTCCCTGGGAATGGGCTCACCTGCTCACCTCCTGCAGCTTAGCATTTCTCTAACAGGCTGTTTTGCCTTTAGTTTTTACACACTTCAGTCATTCCTAGAGCTTCTGAGGTGCTGAGCCTTCAGTGAGGTTGTTTCTTTTTTCTTTTTCTTTTTAAAAATGTTTATTTATTTGATAGCATGAGCAGGGGAGGGGCAGAGAAAGAGGGAGACACAGAATCTGAAGCAGGTTCCAGGCTCTTAGCTGTCAGCACAGAGCCCGACGCGGGGCTCGAACCCACAGACGGCGAGATCATGACCTGAGCCGAGGTCGGATGCCCGACTGACTGGGCCACTCAGGCGCCCCGGGTTGTTTCTTTCATACATTTGTCATACAGTTAGATACTTCGATCACATTTCTGCATTCCGTCCTCAGATCCCGCCAGTCTCGTAAATGTATGTATTTCAAATGCGTACTTTAAGCTCAACTGTCATGCTGCAAAATTCCTTGGGTTTTGACAGGTGCTTCGTGTTCCTAATTCACCGTCAGGGTATCCTGTAGAATAGCTTCTCCGCCCTCAGAAATCCCCTGTGCTTTACTCTCCCACCTGCTCTGATTCTACTGGATCCTGGTAACCACAGATCTCTTGCCCGATTCTCTCCAGTTTTGTCTTTTCTAGAATGTCATGTAGTTGGAATCATGCAGTGCACAACCCTTCACACTGGCCTCTCTCACTTAGCAATCTGTGTTTAAGATTCATTTGTGTTTTTTCATGGCTTGCTAACTAATTTTCCTTTTATTGCTAAGGAATATTCCCTCATACAAATGTGCCGATTTGTTTATCCATTCACCTAATTGAAAGACATATTGGTTGCTTCCAGTGTTTGGTAATTATGAATAAAACTGCAGTTTGTTTGGCTTGTTTTGTGGCCGTCAGATTTCAAAGCAGGGGGTTCCTTGTTGCTGAAGGCATCCGAACAGAAGCTGAGGCTCACGGAGTATCAAAGATCACATGGGGCCCTCTGCAGAGAGCCCTCTCTGTCTTCGTTCAGGTGTGGAGCTGTGGCAGTTAAGCCCTGGGCCTTTCTCCACCCAGGAACAGAGGAGGGTGCCTGGGGGGTTCCAGCCACATCCAGCCCTTTCGGTGAAAATCTGAACGTTCTGTGATCATGCTCTGGTGTGATTGCTCCTCTATTGGTTTCTCACTTTATTTGTCTGATTTTGGAAGGCTCTGCTCTGACCAATGGGGGACTAAACCTGCACAGCCCCGTGAAGAGGAAGCTGGAAGCAGAGAAGGACTATGTCTTTGACAAGAGGCTCAGGTACAGCGTCCGCCAGAATGAAAGCAACTGCCGGTTCCGGGACATTGTCGTGCGGAAGGAAGAGGGGTTCACACACATCCTGCTGTCCAGCCAGACCTCGGACAACAACGCGCTGACCCCTGAGGTGAGAGACGGGGGATCCCAGGGGAGGTTCAGACTGGAGAGGGCTTCTCCTTCAGAACGGGGCACTGGCCTCCTCTTTGTTCCATCAGGGAGCTGATCAAAATAGCCAAGACGCACGCAAACTGGACTGTGGGGCAATGTGCTAATCACTTCACGGTCATTATCCATTTGATCTTTATGACCAGGTAGTGATCCAATTCCCTTTTACAGATGAAGACCCCACCAAATGGAGAGATTCAGAAAATCCGTCAGGGTCACACAGTTAGTCAGGCGACAGCCCCAGAATCCAGATACATCTTGGCTTTTCCGCCATGTCAAATGTTTTTGGGTGGAATTATATTCACTCAGCTCTCTTGCTGTTGGTTTTTTTTTTCAATTGAGATATAATCCACATGCCATAAATTTCACCACTTTTTTTTTTATTTTTTTTATTTTTTTTTTTACAAATAGTTTATTGTCAAATTAGTTTCCACATAACACCCAGTGCTCATCCCCACAAGTGTCCTCCTCCATGCCCACCCCCCCTCCCCCCCACATCCATCAGTCCTCAGTTTTTGTCAGCATTCAAGAGTCTCTCATGGTTTGCCTCTCTCCCTTTCCCCCACCATTTCCCCCCTTCTTCTCCCCCTTGTTCCTCCGTCAAGTTCCTCCTAATTTCACCACTTTAAAATGCACATTTTTGTAGTCTATTCACAAGGTCGTGCAGTGGTCACCACGTCCTGGTTCCAAAACATTTCCATCACCCCGAAAGGAAACCCTGTGTCCACCAGCATCCCTTCCCATCCACGTCTCCCTCGCCACGTGTGTGGCAACCATGAATCTACTTTCTGTTGCTACGGATTTGCTGATTCTGGATACTTTATATAAATGGAATCGTCTGGTCTCTGGTCTTCTGTGACTGGCTTCCTCCACTGAGCACAAAGGCTCATCCTTGCTGTAGCACGCGTCGGTGTGTCATGACCTTCTGTGTTACAGACATGCCACATTTTGTCCCTTAGTCATTCAGTGATGGACATGTGTGTCGGTTCCACTTTTGGCTGCTGTGTTATGACTAGCATTGCCGCGGACATCTGTGCACAGGTTTTTGCACGAACGTGTTTTCAGTGTTCTTGGAGATATTCCTCATCGCAGAACCGCTGGGTCATATGGTAACTCTGGATGTGACTTTTTGAGGAACTGCCAGACTTTTCCACAGTGGCTCTGCCATTTTACATTCCCACTGGCCGTGTGCGAGGGCGCTAATTTTTCTGCGGCCTCGTCAACACTTGTTATCATCTGTCCTTTTTATTATAGCCATTTGAGTGGGTGTCGGGTGGTTTGTCACCGCAGTTTTGATTTGCATTTTCCTGATGACTAACGATTGTGGGTATCTTTTTATGCACTTATTGGCTATTTGTCTTCTTTGGAGGAATGTCTGTGCACATCCTTTGCCTATTCTTAAAACTGTTTTTAATTGTTGAGCTTTAAGACTTCTTTATCAGACGTAGGATTCAAAAAGACGCTCTCAATCTCGGAGTCGTCTTGTTACTTTCTTGATGGTGTCCTGGGATGTACAATGTTTAAAATTTTGATCAAGTCCATTTTACCTGTTTTTTTCTTCCACCTTACGTTTTTAATGCTAATCATGCTTATATTTTAGGCAAACAGAGCACGGAAATGGTGTGTACTTAATGCTGTGACATACACAACACCATTTAAGATGTTGTTGTGGGGTACCTGGGGGGAACAATGAAGAAATAAGATTAATATTTTTAAGAGACTCCTAATGGTACAGATGTGGGAAAAGCTGCATCCAAGCAGCCCGCTCCAACTAGACCGGCCTGGGACACGGTGGTAGAGTAGTAAATGACAAAAATGGTGACAGTACCGGATACCAGTGGCTCTTTGTGCTTTGTGTTTACTATTTGTCTCATTTCCTCCTCCCAGGAGCCTTGTGATGTAGGGTTCTTATGACCCACCTCTTACAGATGAGGTGATGCAGGCTTAGAGACCTTAACAGGCCTAGGGTCATGCAGCTTCATGGAATATAGCCTCTAGGGAGCAGGGCCCTTGCTACTTGTGGCCACCATATTGTTTCTTACACCCAGCCCAGTGCCTGGCCCGTGGAGGACAGCTAAGTCCACACCTCCCTTTCCCTGTCCTGTGATCCCCTGCCCTCTCTGATTTCCAGAGAGTTAACTGCAGGGACATGTCAGGGAGTGGCGGTCCCCCCAGACTGGGCTTGGGGGGGGCATCTGGTATTGCCCAGTGTATCCGGCACACTTGGGGAGGCTGGGCAAGCGGACTGGGGCAGGAGGTGCTGTGTCCTCAAGCTTGTAAATCGCATGTCTTCTCATTATGATTGACGTGAACTGTAGTTCCTTCAAGGGACCGTGGCTGTGACAGTCAGGAATGATTGCCAACCTGTAAGGGAAGAGACGTAGCTAAAACCTTTGCAATTTGTGGGACCAGCGACCACCTGCTGCCCCTCCTCCAAGCATGGTGTTTTGGGGTCTCTCTCTTGCACCTTCAGGAACCACCTGAGGGTTCTCTGCTGTATAGACCTCTGTGGTTTACCCCGAAGGCTGCCTTTCCCATACTTACACACACGGAAACCTTGTTATTTTAAGCTCATCATAAAACATTCACATGAGACCAATTCTTCTCGGATGTTTTTCCTACCTCACTACGTTTTAAAAGCATGCTTTTAAAAAGGCACAGCATTTTCCTGCCGTAAATCGAATAAATGTGAAGTCTCCTGGTTCATTCTGTCTCTTTGGAGGAGCCCGGCCTGTTAACCATCACCTACTCACCACGGACGACATGTGGCATCCAGCCGATGTCAGGTGCCCAGGTTCTCAGCTCCTGGGATGCGGGCTTGGTTAATTAGGGGTTCCATTCCTAATTGGTGTCTGTCAGTAACAGAACAGGAGGAAAGTGGAAAAAAATATTGATCTGGTGTTTCCAGCTTTCTCAACGACCGAAGCTGATTGACTTTACAGATAAGCTGGCCAACTGGGTAAAGTAGCCCCAAACCAAAGATCCCAGTGAAAGGAAGAGGTGGTGTTAGCAGAGCAATATAGATTTCAGAGGCGAGTAGACTACGTTTGCATCCTGCCTCCAGCACCTCACCTTGGGAAGGTACCTTACCTCTTTTGAGCTTCCTCATTTATAGAAGTTATACTATATCTTGCTTGTGGGATTAGAGATCATGTCTGCACAGAGGCTCACAGAATGCCTGGCACACAGGAAGCATTCAATAAATGTTCCCATCACTGTTAAAATGAAACAGAGGTGATTTAATGGTCTCCAGCAGACCAGCCTTACTTATTCATGGAGCAGCTGGGATGAGGCCACCCTGCATGTCATGATTGAATTTCTTTTTCTTGTTGTACATGGGACATTGGTTGGATTGGCCTCATGGGCAGAAATTCGTACATTACTGGGTGTGTTAACTAGATTCTGAGGCTAGCGGGTATGTTGTAATATTTCTCCCGTCTGTAATATTGCGAAGAACCAGGAAGATAATGAAAATGCCCCTTTAGGAAAGAGCCAGCAAAATAGATTGCCCAAAGTGTTGGTGATTAAAAGCTCATCTATGCCCCCATTGGGAGAAGACCCCAAGCCCTTGCTCAGCTCCCGGTTTTCTGCAGTACCCTCAGACTCAGCCAGCCACACCCCTCCTTCCACAGGGGCACGGTGGACACGCAGGAGTCACGGCTCACACCCACCATATCCACGTTGCCCCCAAGGCCTGTTAGCTTTAATCCTTGAATAGCCCGCTAATATGCTTTTTTCTCCCTGTTTTCATCATGATCATTATATTCTGGACTGTTGTAATAACCTACTAACAGGTGTGCTCTTTCATGTTTACTCCCCTGCAATCCATTCTTCTCACAGCAGGCAGAGTGATCTGCGGGAATGCAAATCTGATCAAGTCACCCCTTCTACACACACACTTGCACTTGCACGTGTACACGTGTGCTCATGCATTTCAAATACATCTGTGGTTCCCAGTTGCACTGATTAAGAATCAAAACCACTCATGTGGCCTGGTGAGGCTGGTGTGTTCTCACCTGCCCACCTCTGTGACCCTCCTTGCCTTGTGCCACACATCCTTCTTCTTTCCTCCTGCACTCCAGTCAGCCTGGCTTGCTTTCATGCTTACATCCGCCCCAGGGCCTTTGCACATACCTGTGCTTCTGACTGAAATATCCTTCCCTTCCTCCTTGCCTAGTGACCTTACACTTCATTCAGGTCTCAGCTCAGCCACCACATCTGTGGGAGTGCCCCCCCGCCATGCCCCGTTCCCAGCTCCCTGCCCAGATTACATCCTTCTCTCACTATGCACCCCTCTCTTCTAGAATTTGTTGTGGTTTTTAGTGTACATGTATTTATGTGGTGGGTTGTTAAATGTCTGGTTCCCCCACTACACTGTAAACTTCTTGAGGAGGTAAATACTGTGCTATTCATTCAATTCAGTAAACACTTAATTAGGTTTTGTTTGTATGCAAGGTTCTGGACTAGGTGTTACAAGGGTCATATAGATGAGTAGAAGACTGTTTTAGCTTTTAAAGAATTGTATTAGTTATCTATTACTGTGTAACAAATTGCCCTAAACTTAGCATCTTAAAACAATGAACATTATCTCACAGTTTCTGTGGGTCAGGAATCCTGGTGTGGCTTAGCTGGATGCTTCTGCCTCAGGGCCTGTCAAAGCCTATGGTCAAGGCATGTTGTCTGGGGCTGCGGTCTCAACTGAAGGCTCAATGGAGGTGGATCCACTTCTAAGCTCACCCAAGTGCTGATAGCAGGTCTGAGGCCGTCGCTGGCCAGAGACATCAGTTCCCTGTTGTGTGGTTACTTTGTATGTATGGGCTATGGGTTTGCCCTCCACGGGGCTCCTCCTGACGTGGCAGCTTTGCTTCCCCAGACGGAGACCTCCATGGGGGAGAGAGAGCAAAAGAGAACAGCCAAGACTAGTCGTGCCCTTTCACATCCCAGGCTCCTCTTAAAAAGGACATCCCGTCCCTCTTGCTGTATCTTGTGGTTAGATATGAGTCACCAGGTCTAGTCTACCCTCAAGGGGAGGGGATGCCACAAGCGTGTGACTACCATGCAGGGGATCATTGAAGGCCATCACAGAGGCCGCCTATCAGGGATTTAAATCAAGCAAGAAGTAGGGTGAGGCAAAGATGCTCACATTCTACAAGGGGGCGTGTCACAAGTGTCTTAGAAGGGATTTACGACACTTGGGGTATCAAGAGAAGGGAAAGTTTGCATTTAGTCAGGGATATTTGGGAAAGCATTCATGAAGGTGGTCACAGCTAAGACAGGCCTTAAGTGGTTGATTTCAGCAAGTAGAGCTAAAGTAGAGAGAGAGAGAGAGACTCTGGTCTACTGCTCCTTTAGACCCACTTCTTTTTTATTTGTTTATTTTGAGAGAGAGAGAGAGAGTGAGAGAGAGAGTGAGCACATGGGAGGGGTAGAGTGAGAGGGAGAGTGAGAATCCCAAGCAGGCTCTGTGCTGTCAGAGCAGAGCCTGACATGGGGCTGAAACCCACAAACCATGAGATCATGACCTGAGCTGGAGTCGAGTCAGACACTTAACTAACTGAGCCACCCAGGCGCCATTGACCCCCTTGGGATGAATTTGGTTATCTCCTCCCAACGCATGGCCGATCAGAAGGTGGAGGTGGCTGTGGGGAATGTCCTTTGTCCAGCAGATACATCTGGAGCAAATGGCAGCTAACGAGGGCAGTAAATCTCCAGAATTTGGGGCTTCAAAATGCATAGCAGTCTTGGACCATTTGTTAAAGAGGCATTCCCCAGGAGCCTCTGAGGGGACTGGTCTGTTACCAGCTAGCAAGTGACCATCGAGAGGCAGTTATGCGTGTGGAGCGTATCCTGTTTAGGAAGGCAAAGGAAGTAATCATTTTAGAATGTTTCACTTTAAACAAACCAGTTGCGTTGTACAATTTGGGGTCCTTCAAGGAGGTATAACCTCCAACCATCTGTCCAAATTGGATTATCAACAAAAGAAAGGCAAAGGAATGCTATACTAACTAGACATAACATTTTTGAAATTACAGTATGTAGTTTGTACTTTTTTCGTGTGATTGTAGCACAAATTAACTTTACGCTCAATTCATAAAGGAGGTGGCCATTTTGTTTGATTTTGTCTTTACTAATTGACTAGTAAATGTGACCTCGGAGAGAGAGGCCACTCTCTGAATCATGTGTAGAGTGGCAGCTTGCATCTTTACAGCAGGGTTTTCTTTTATTTGTCTCTCAAAGAAATAGAGTTCATGGATTGTTCAGAGTGTGTCTATTTCTGGAAGCAGATGGTTTAAAGGACCCACAAGATAGCGGCCTATTCGCTTTTTTGATGTTCAAAATGAAATCTGTGGCTTATACTCGGTGAGAATGGAAAATGCCTCTCCCACCCTCACAGAGCACCAGCTGGGAGATTCCCTATTTAGATTGACATCCAGCCCTACTTTTTTCCACTAAAATTCACCCATTTACTGAAATCATCCTACAGTATGGAGTAGTGGAAAGAGAAGGGGCCTGGGGGTGAGATTTGCCCCATGGTTCTGCCTCTTGCTGCTGACCTCGGGTGACTTGCATCACTTCTCTGAGTTTTCCTTGCTCTCCCCACAAAATTGGGATCCCAGTCCCTCTTGTACGGGATTATCGTTTGGAGTAAAATATGTGGAAACTACTCTGTGTAATCCCCAGCACCTCCAAGGGCTTAATAAGTGGGTTCTTTAAGAAGTCTAATTTTAAAAACCCGGCTCTCATAATATTTTCCCTTTGTACCCTATGATGATGCCTACTGAAAAATTAACAACGGTCCTTTAAAAGCCTGTTCACTTATTGTCTTCCCAGTTCGACTCTCAGCTCCACCCAGGCAAGTGCATGCCTTTTTTTCTCTTACCATGCCTTTTCTGCACTTATTTTCCCCTCCTTCCCTGCCTTCTGTTGGATTGAGCTTTCTTTATTTTACCCCCCTCCCCCTTCATCATAATCCATGTACATTTAAGATGTTATCCTTAAGTTACGAACACATGGTGAAGCCTAAATGGGATCATTGCCTCTCCACCACTCCCAGACATAGAACCTTGGCATGTGGTTGTCGTTCTTCTATCAATGTACATGATATTATCGCCTGGACTCTGGTTCTTCTTCCCTTGTGCAAACCCTCACCCTCAATGGTCAATATCAGTATGATGATTTTATAGTCATTCTTATATTGATTTGTCAACACATTCACCGTTTCTTTGCTGGCTGTTATTATTCCTTGCATGTCAGGGTTTTTTTTTCCCTTTCTGAATATAGTTTTCTTCTTTCTGAAATGCATCCTTTTTAAATTCTTCCAGTGAGGGTCTAAGAGTGGTAAACATTCTTTTGCTGAAAATGCCTCATTTTTACCCTTGCTTTTGAATGATAGTTTAGCTGGATACAGAATTTGTGTTTGACGGTTGTCTTCCTTGGCACCTTGACAAATTTTATGAGTTCTGATGCCAAAACCCACTTCCCATGTGCCACCTGCAAACCATGCAAAAGTCTTAGCTGAGTTAAGGACAAGCAAGAGTATGATTAAACCTGGCCTCCTAGAGAAGGCTAGCATACCTCGCCTGGGCTGCACACAGGAATTTTTTCCCCACACTTTTGAAAAGGGCTAAACATGTAAATGCTAGAAGAAGATTTGCAGAGAGATACCAGGGATTACACGGTTCCAAGACGGGCTTCTAAGCCCGTGGCCAGTGACCTCACTGCCACCTTCTTAGCACTCTGTGCCAGCTCTGGGAATGCTGCAAGGGAGCTCTGGTTTTGGTATTTCTTTGCTTAGTCTGGATGTGGCTTGTATTCAGGGGAGCCTTCTTGCACAGGAAGGGAAGATGTACTCGCTTCTGCCCTCGGGGGTGAGGCCTCTGGCAGGGTTGAGGTCTGAAAGCCCCTGGCTCCTGGGTAGACACTTAACATCCCCGCAAATCCATCTCTGCCCGCAGATTATGAAGGAGGTCCGGCGAGCGCTGTGCAACGCGGCCACGGACGACAGCAAACTGCTGCTTCTCAGTGCAGTGGGCAGCGTATTCTGCAGTGGCCTAGATTACTCCTACCTAATTGGCCGTTTGTCCAGTGACAGGAGAAAGGAGAGTACCCGGATTGCAGAAGCCATCAGGTGAGCTCTGCTCATGTTTGGACACTTTGGGACCTGCCTCCATTTTGCCAAACGTAGCACATAAAAATACAGGTGGCTCCTTAAAATTTGAATTTTAAACGACAAAGAATTTTTCTTTATCGTAAGTACATCCTATGCAATATTTGGGATATACTTAGACTAAAATTTTTTGTTGTTTATCTGAAATTGGGATTTTAATGGGGTATCCTGTATTTTTCTGCCCAAATTAGGGGTGCCTCTGATCTCTAGATTAGATCCCACTTTATTCTTTCTCTCAAAAAGAGGTTTTATTTCCTCAAGTTAATTAAGCACAGCATCTGGTAATGACCGTGTGTTAATCTGTACCACCCCTGCCCTCAGCCAGATGGTGAAGTGTTGGGTTTTCTGGGCATTCCTGCGTCCTGGAGCTGACGTGGCTCAGCCCTTGGGAGAGGATGGAGGGCTACCCTGGGCAGCTGGGCGTCTGCAGACCCAGTGGGGTGGGGAGTGCCACCCCCCTGTCTTGTTGCCGATGGGATCCTGGGGTTGACATCGGGTCCCAACAATCAGTATCCCTTTTGGGAACACTGAAAGGTAGTCACTTCCCCATTATGTATAGATTGATCAAAAGCAAGTGAGTGTTCTTTCAAGCAAAAGGGCCATCACGCAGCCTCCACCCGGGAAGGGTTCACACTTGCTGCTGCCCCTCGGGCTGTGTTCAGACAAGGGTCATGGTGCAGGAATGCCCACTGCTCTCTTGGAAACGGACACCCATCCATGTGGGATCATGGAGCCTGAGGCTGCATGTGAGGAATTTTCTGGGGCCTCCTCTCACTGTGCCTGGCAGCGTCACATGGAGGCTGGTTCTCCCGAGCCCATAGCCAGGGGCTACAGAGTGTCCCAAAGATGACACGTGGACGCTGTCACTGGTGGAGTTCTGAGTCCCTTCTTCAGGGCGAAGCATCCGGTGAAGTCTGCCTCAACACACCTCTGTGCTTCCTGTTGCCGATTTCTCGCCCAGAGACGAAGCCAGAAGGCTGAGCACTATTATTAGAAAGGGCATCGTGGTCACATGACGCTCCCAGGCATCCTGGGCGCAGACAGCCCTGGCCACGTCCACAGAGGATTGTTCTCTGCTCGGACTCCGCTGCGCCTTGTGGCAGTTTCCTCGTCACATGCTGAGGGGAACCGTAGGGTCCCCAGTGAGCCTCCTTCATTTATGGGACCATCGGAGACGGGGCGCCCATCTCTGCAGCCTGGGGAAAGCCTTGGTGGTAGCTATCACGTGGTTTACGAATTTCACTGGCTGCATTAGCTGCATTTCCAGAAGTCCCAAATTTGAGGAGATGCTGAATGCACTCACTCACCCTTCAAGAAATGCAGCCCGTGAGATGGAAGACATTTGCGGTCTTGTCAGAAAGGGGAGTTTCTCTTCGGCAGAGCAGAGGGGAGGTGGCAGAGGGAAAGCTTCCCAGTGCTCAGAGGGAGTGGAAGCTCCTAATCCCTGAGCCGGCAGAGACCCCTGGCTAGGGAATGGGGAGGGGGTGTCCCCTAGACCAGTGCTTCTCAGCCTCAGCAGCACAGAGAATCCACGGGGAGCTTTCCTAGGACCCAGCTGCTTGCCAGCAACCCCAGAAGATGCCATATCGGTGAAAGTGGGGTGCGGCTGGCACGGCTGTGGCTGTAAAGTTCCCTCAGTGGTGCTACTGTGCAGCCGGGCTTGAGAACCCCCACCCCACCCTAGCCCAGGGGTTTCTGCACCGCTGACTGGGAGCACTGGAAGTTCTAGAAACAGCTGGGTCCTTATTATTACATAACATAAAAGGCTGTTAGAAAGGGTGAAGGAGAAGGTGCTGGAAGGAACAGGGTGGGTGAGGAACTTCAAGGGCATGGGTGGGTGCAGACAGGACTGTAGAGGAGGGTGCTCGTGGGGTCAGACAGTGACTGCGTCCTGCTCCTCGTCACCAGACTCCTAGGGGAAGGCTCCCCCCAGCCGGAAGCCACACTCCACAGAGTCTGGGACCTGATGGAGCAGAGGAGCATTTCCCAGAGATTGTTCTGTAGATTTCCAGGGCGGCCTCATGAGTGAGGGGCACTGTGGATAAGTGAGTTCAGGCCACACCACGGCTCCTGTCCCTGCTTCTGCAGATTTTCCAGGCTTATTAACATAGTTGCAATCTGAGAAGTCTCTTGTGAAAGAACTTTGTTCAAAATCTAACATGGCTGGAACAGATTTTGGCCTCAGTGACAGTCCCTTGCAGTTCTCTGGGGGCACGCATGCTCTTGGCTAGGCCGACTTCCAGGATCCGGACAAGCCGCACGACCCCCGCAACCCCCCAGCGCCGCTCCCACCCCATCCTCCTCGTTTCCTAGAGAAAACACGCACACACGTGACCCAGGACGCCGTGTGCAGTCTACAGATGTTTGTTGAATGAACTAGCAGATGTGAGAAGAGCTCAGATGATTCATCCGGCGCAGGCCTCTGTCCAGGACCCAAACAAGGCTGTCAGCCCTATCCTGAGAGAGGCTGCCCTCCCCCGACCTCCTCCCAGGTGACGCGGTGGCCTGCTGGCCGGTTGCCAGGATGAAGAGTGAGCAGATTGCCCGTGTGAAACACTTGGGCTGACCTGGCAAGTAGTACTTAGAACAGGTGTGAAGAAAGAAGTACTCCCATTGCTAGTACTGTTCACATGCAGCCATGAGTTCTAGCTAAGCCTGGTCTGACTGTGGAGTGGGCTTCTAGAGCACCGCTGTGGGGGCCAGGATGCCCATCACTGTGTGTATCTGGTGCTCCCGGGTCCCGTACTGGCTCTGAACATTGGCGGTGGGCTGCCGTACCCCGCGGCTCTGGTTAAAGGGAATGGATAACCGGGTCACACAGGAAATGCCAGTTGTTCCGGGAATGTAAACAACCCTGTGTGCAGAGTAGTGCTTCGGAGCCTCCTTTGGGCCTGGAGGGTGGATCTCTGGCAGCTGAGAACAGAGCGAGAGCAGCGCCCGCCGTCCCTGACAGGTGCACCGACTATAATAAGAGTAGTAGTGACCGAGGGCTCCTGCGTGCCAGGCAGGACACTTTTGTCCCTCTGGGGACAAACCATTGGCTTTCCCATTTGAGAGGGAGTAAAATGGGGTTCTAGAGAGTGAGCAAAGTGCCCAAGATCTCATTACCAGTTAGGGGCAGAGTGGAGACTTGACCCCAAAGTTCCTGCTTCTGCCACATCAGAGCAGCCCAGCACCCAGATGGCCAGAGGCCACAGGGCTCAGGCTCCGTGGAGAGGAAGTGGCAGGGGCCAGGGTCAGCATGACTGGTGGACTTTGATGCTAAAGAAGATGGCAAGCCGTCTCCCCTGCACAGTCCCACTGCTAGAGGCAGGATCAGATATCTGAGCGGCAGTGTCTGTAATGCAATATCCTGTTTGGTTTCTGGCTTCTGCATCCACAGGGCCCTTGTGATAGAGATCTTCTGCCTGAGTGAGAGGAAGGGGATGGGGACAGTGGTCTGTGCATTTGCATCTTCATATCTAGGATGGGAGCCCACGAAGCGGCTTGAACAGAAAACAGGGTGGCGTGGGGGTGCGGGGTCCCCTTAGCCATCCTTGGGGTGCTCAGTGCCTCTGCACAGGGCTCAGGCTGGAGACCACAGAGGAAAGGGCTCTGGGCTCTGGCACGGTGTGCTTTCTGGAAGGTCGTGAGGGCCGAGGTGAATTCCTGAAGGGCTGCCGTGTGCAGTTTGGAGCAGATTGGGCCTGCGAGAGGTCCGCAGTGGGCAGGCATCCTGCTAGGGAAGGACCTCTTTACTGGAAGTGTCTACAGCAGCTGGGGGATGGCCTCCTCAGGATGCCAGGAGGGGACTCCTGCACTGAGCGGAAGACTTGGCTCGACGACTGCCCGAACTCCTTTCCAGCTCCAAGATGCAAGGTTCTGGAATTGTGTATGAAGGGGTTTAGATGTGGAATGGTGGCCCCAAATCACTCAGAACCTCTGCCTCCAAGGACCCTGCCAAGAAGTCCCATGTGCTGTGCAGCCTCCAAATTACATTTGGTAAAAAGTCACACATGAAGGTCAGTGACTGAGGCCATGAAGTTAGGAAGTCAGGCCGGAAAGTGGGCCACCAGAAAACCAGGAACCAGAGGCCGTGGTGCCGGAATGCAGCAGCGTCCTTTTGGGGGTCAGCTGCCATGGGCTGGCAATGGCTGAGAGCACACCCCCTTCAACTCACACATCGCTGCTCGGGGAGTCAGGAGATGGGATGCCTCGAGCCTGGGTTAAGGGTGCGACTTACATGACAACACATAGTTCATGAGACGCCCCCTACCCCAATCTTCTCACAGTTGAATCCAATCCCAACATATCACTGTGATGGCTACATCTCTTGGTGAGGATTGGGGGAAATGCTTATCCTTGAGGAAGAATAAATCAGCCAGATTTAGTGAAGTATTAGCTGCTGTAATGAATGAACCCAAATATATGTGATGACTCAGTTGTGATAGAAATCTACTTCTTATATATGGGAACCTGAAATCGTGTTACTCTGAGCCCATGGCTGCCCTCCAAGTATGACTTAAGAGCCCAGACTCCTTCCATCTTGTGGCTCAGGACATGCCTTCCAGGACTGCCATGCCTGTCAAAGGCTTGCGGACTCATGGTGGGAGGTTTCCGCGCACGGGCCCAGAAGTGTGCGTATGGCTTCCATTCACCTTCCATGGCCAGCATTTGGTTACTTGGCGACAGCCACCTGCGAGGGAAGGGAAATGTGTTCCAGCAGCAGACTCAGGAAGAAGAGGGAACAGATAGTTGGGCTCTGGTGAACAGCTGGTGTGTCCCTGCCGCACATCTGCATATTCACTCCCATTCTTGGGAGACCCCTCTGTTTATTTGGCAATCATTTGCCTGAGTGTGAACTCTGGTATATATGGGCACTAAGCCTGTGTACGAGGCAGACCTGCAGGTTTCCGCAAGGAGCTGGAGAAGGAGGAGATTCCAAAAGCAAGTAAGCGAGCAAGTAATGAGGATAATTGCAAATTGTGATAATGGTGTTTTCCAAGAACTCTCAGAAGGCCCGTGCAGCTCATGCATAATGAGCAGGCATGAGGGAGACAAGAGACATGTAGGCAGAAGCAGACCAAGGTCATGGTCAGGAGTATGGATTTTATTCTTTTGAGTTCCCAGTAGTTTCCAGTCTTCCACCTGGGAATAATGAAGGATGCAGGCTTTACTAGACCTCTTGGATCTTTCCTCCATGTCCAGATGAACATTAACGTTTTATAGATCTTATATAGCAGCAAGAGGAAAGGGAAAAAGCATTCTGGGGCAAAGGAAGGTAGAGGTGGCTCTGCTTAATGGGTACAAATGCATGCAGGAACTTTACTCACTGCAGAAGGGCAGGGTGATAAAATGTCTCCAAATCTCAGAGCCAGGATCCCAGATGCCTCATGCCTCCAGGGGGGGTCCAGTGTCCCCCACTTTTGGTTGAAGCCACCCTAACATATGGATGGATCCTTGTCAGCATTCTAGAACCACCCTAGATGAGTCTCATCCCTCACATCCAGATGAGTCTGGAATCCCTGATTCAGAGTCAGACAAGCCTAGGACTGAAAGAAATGTTATGTGCCATCAGTCCTCACCCGTGCCCACCTTCTGAAGCTTGAATCCCCTCTACAACTTCACCCAAAGCGATCCTCTGGCCGAAGGTGGAATACCTCCAACACGAAGGCATTCATACCTCCCAACACCACCATTTCCACCCTCGGCCAGGGCTGTTAGAATGTTCCTTCTCTCCATGTGTTCAAATAGGCCTCATTTTTGTTCTCTTGCTGGTTCTAAACTTGACATTCAGGTTGGCTTCCTTAGGATATTTACAAGTTGCGAATATCCAGGGAGTGAGTGTAGTACTGGGACAACAGGCATGACCTGGGACCATCTGGGCAAACGGGGAAAGGCAGTCACCCCCCATGAATTTCTTTCTGAAAACCTGCCACTGACCACCACGTGTGCCATGCCTGTGACTGCATATTAGTGGCTTGGTGTCCAGGAGGATGTGACCCTTGCCTGGCACCCTCTTTCCTCTGATGACCGGAGGGTGCCAGACAGCACCGGGGAAGCCGGTTGCAGCCTCGGTAGGTTCAAGGGTGTCAAATAGGTCTGGGCAAGCCTGGTCGCCTGTTAAAGAGGGTCTTCTCTTTTCTCCCAGGGACTTCGTGAAGGCCTTCATCCAGTTTAAGAAGCCCATCGTGGTCGCGATCAACGGGCCTGCCCTGGGCCTTGGTGCCTCCATCCTGCCCCTCTGCGACATCGTGTGGGCCAGTGAGAAGGCCTGGTTTCAGACCCCGTATGCCACCATCCGCCTCACACCCGCTGGCTGCTCCTCATACACCTTTCCCCAGATCCTGGGCGTTGCACTGGTAAGCCTCCTCCATCTTTGGGCAGAATCCCTCTCTGTGATCTTGACAAGACCCCTTCTCTGTTCTGGATTTAGGATATGGCCCTACATATGAATAAGGAGCTCAGGGGTTCCCCCGGCTGGTGGAATCTGCTGACTGTCTCTGCTTCCTCTGCCTCCCTCCAGGGCAGCTGGGATGCGGGCAGGCTGCCCTTGGAACCTTCCGGCGCTGCCACCAGATGCCAGGGCTGGGTGTGCCCAAGGGCTGAGAAGATGATGGCAATGTTCGCTCACCAAACACAGACTTTGTTTACTTAACTGAGTTAACTCAATTCAGCTAGTTCAGGTAACTAAGCACGTAACTAGTTAAAGCCAACTGAACTAAGTTCAAGCACTTTGCAGCCATTCTTTCATTTATTCCTCACAATAGCCTGATAAGACCTTGTATCAGAATAGACTGTGTGCTGTAGCAAACAATCCCACAATCCCAGGGTCCAAACAACAAAAATTTCTTTCTCATTCTTGCCGCAGTCTGGCCGTCCACACTGACTGGGGGCCCAGGCGTCTTCCATCTGGTAGACACACCTGTGCTTCCGGCCAGTGGATGTGTAGAGAGAGCTCGAGTGTTTTCCGGAGTCAGGCCTGCAAAAGGCATCTTCATCCCCACTCACTTTTCAGGGGCCAGGATTCGGTGGCGTGGCCACACCTACTTGCAAGGGAGGCTGGGAAATGTAGTCCTGCTGTGTGTCCCAGAAGCAGGAGGGGATTTGGGGCCATCCCAGGGCAGGTTGCACCTGGAGAACCTGTGTTGGTCTCCGTCACACAGCTGGCGAGCTAAACTGGAGAAGTTAAGGAACTTGCCGAGTCATGTGTCAGTAAGCAGGCAGAGGGGCCTCTGAGTGAGCGGTGGGCTTCACTGCAGGCTGCTGACAGATTCTGCACCAATAGCATGAAGCAAGCGTGGTCGGGGGCCAGCAACAGCTAACACTTGGAAAGCACTCACCACGGCCAGGGCTTGACGGCCGCTAACTCGGTCCCCGTCCCCCCATAACCCTGTAAGGTAGGACTGTAGTTATCTCCACCTGACAGATTGGAGGCTGAGGCTCAGAGAGGGTGAGTTGTACAGGGTCACACAGTGGGAGGGGCAGTCGTGGTGTCTGAACCACAAACTCTCTGGCTTCAGAGTCTGTGCTCTTTACCACCTCTACAGGAGGGCCTGCATCCACAGAGTGAGTCCGAAATTGGGCAGGGGGCGGGGGGGGGGGGGATGTCTCTACCTGGTGCTTGTTTGACCTAGACCGTATTGTCTGAAATCAAGTGCCAGCTCCTTGTAACCCCTCGTCCCTCCAAGAAGGACCTCCACACCAGTTCTAGAAAGTTCCAGCACCCACATGTGCAGGTGTAGGTGCTCTTGTCTGATACTGGAGAAAAACTGGAGGAAAACTGGCCACATTCCATTGCAAGGGACACCTGTGACCTCCTGTGTGTTGAGCCTGGCAGGCCCGTCATCAGCCCTGACACTGTTAGCTTGCTCTGCTGTGACAGATGGTCCTGGAAACTCTTTCCTCCATCCTCTCCGTTCCCGACTGCTTCTTGGCCCTCCAATAATTTATCTGTTTGTCTCTCACAAAGCCTTTGGTGGGTCTTCCATTCTGAGTTGGAGCCCCTTGGCAAGGCTCAAAAGGTTTGAATGACCCAGGCCTTCTGGGCCTTTTCGTGTTTGGTCTCTGGCCTTGATGTTCACATCCCACAGCTTGGAAGAGTAACTCCTGTGTGACTCCCGAAGCCTTGTGGGCTCAGCACGGCCACCACCCACTGAGCAGACTGAGGTCCGTGCCCCTTCCGTCCTTAGGATTCCTGAGATTCTCCATCTCCCACCCCAGGGTGAGGTCCTTGGGTGAAGCCCTCAGGTGCCAGCCATCCCCTGGAGTTAATGGGGCCCTCACGGAAGTGCTGTTGGTACTGAGATCCTGCACAGGGATGGCCCGATCACCTTGGCGCTTCCTGCCGTCCCTTTCATACTTGCATTCTGCAAAGCGTGTCCACCGTGCTGCATCACACACTGAAGCCACATGGGCCCTCTGATGACAGAGGACCGAGCGGGTTGCCCCAGCAAGGTTCTCCAAGCTTGTGCTCGGCACCACGTGCGGGCTACTTTACTGGTCACTTTCCACATGGTGGTCTCATTCACTCTTGCTCAGCACCCACAAAGGTAGGTCCTGCTGCCCTCTGTTCGGCAGAGAAACTGCAGCAAGGAGAGCTGAGTGGTATTCTAGCAGGTGCTGCTCCTTCTTTGAGTCCACAGACCTAAGTGAGCTCCCAGGAGGCACCAGGCGTTTTGCTTTACCTGCTTAGAAGCGCAGAGATGAGTGACACAGGGACTCTGTCCTTGGTAATCCCGTCGGTGGGCGCTGATGCATGGCTGGCTTGGTGTTTCCCTGGTCTCCTGTTCTCTCGTTGTGAATCCTCACAGGTGGTAATTGGTACCCACTTCAGAGATGAGTAAACAGATGCAGAGAGGCAGAGAGATTTGCATAGGGTCACAGGGCAAAGCCAAGGGCAGAGCAAGGGTGCCTGATTCTGTGGCCGGTACTTCCCTCTGCCCAGGTGCTGCCGACCTCGGCTTTCCTACCTGGGGAGGGAGAAGACCCATAAGTGGCCACGCTGCTGTACTGTGATGAGGTGCAGAGGTGGTTAGAGAAGGCTCCCAATGCGGGCACCTCCCGAGTGAGTCTGCAAGGAAGGGGACCCCCAGTGTCCCCCTCAGTGTCACTCTTTGATGCACGAAACAGGAAGAGCAAGTACGAGGTCACTGGAGACCCCCAGTAGCCCCCGTCCACCGGCACCACCCCATCCACACAGGAGGGCCAGCAGGTGGCCGGTAAGGCCATTCAGACTCAGGACCTTGGGGCCTGCTCCAGGCTGCTCACAGTCTCACCCGTGGCAGGAAAATGAGGCAGGCAGGGAGCCCAGGAAGCAAACACTTTCCCTTTTGATCTCGGCCACTGTGCTGTGCCCAGACCCAGAGCCGCTCCTGCTCCTCCCCGTCCTTTGTGGTTGCAAAAATGTGAACACTGTACAGCCTTATCTCTTTCTCTGTCTCTTTTATTTCAACCATTTCTGAAACTCCAAGAATGTTGCTGACTGAGATGTCTTCATGCCGACTGTGTCCTGGTCGGGTCCTTCTATTGAGTTCCTCGCTTTCATTTCCCCTTCTCTGTCCTGAGACAGAGGTGTTTCTAAACAAGTATAATGACATATATTTGTCTTCATACCTCTACCCAGATGCATGCTGTAGGCTCATTACTGGCCTGGTAAATTTCTCTACCCTGGCAGAGAATGATGGTCCTGTGGGTCATCACGACCCTCAGTGATGCCCAGAACAAAGGGGGAAACACACGTGTAGACCCAGCAGCTGAGAGAGCCGGGCATGTCAGCATCGATGCAAGAGGGGCTAAGCATGCAAGGGGCAGGCAGATGGATGGCTGGTCAGGGAAGGGATTGTCTGCTGCGCGAGGGAGGTGGGGATTTATCCTGAAGGAGATAGGGACCCCACCACATGGCGGTAACCATTACATGCTAGTTGTCAGCGGGAGAGTCGCTTGGTAAGTCGTAGTGGTAGCTGCACTGGGCTGTCGGTGCCTAGGATCTCTCCATTGGGCTCCTCCCAGGACATGTATGGAAGCTGTGAACAAAAAGCAAGAGGAGATTCTTTGGGGAGTGGGGTTTGGAAGGAAACCACAGAAGGCCAGTGGGCAGGGGTATAGGTAGGGAGGGTGCTTTTTGCCCCTCACAACTGAGCACAGCCCTGGGCCACCGGGGGAGACGCGCCTCTCTGCGTTAGTATTAGGGTATTATCTAGGACCTTTCTGGCTGCCAGTGATGGAAGCACTTTAACTGGTTTAAAGGCAGAGGAAAAAGAATGCAGTTGTTGTCCTAACTTGGGTATCCGGAAGTGGAGCCTTCCTTGGGGATGCTGGGGTCCAGGAATCCCAGCTCAGTGAGGGCTCTTGTCCTCCAACCTTCCTTTCTTGCTGGACCCACTTCTCCAAAGAGTGGGGACACAGCAGTGGGTGGCCATGGGCTCCTTGACTTGAGCACGTAACCAGAGAGGGAGAAAGATTCTTCCCGTCACCTCTAGCTTAGGGCTTTATTACATGGGTGGATATGTGTTCATTGCTGGGAGGGGGCGTCAGCGCTGAAATGGACCCAGCCCGAGGTGCAAGCCCACTGCCGCGGGTCCGCTGCCGGAAGTGGGGAGGGGTGTTGGGCAAATGAACCCACGGTAGGTACGCGGCTGCTGTTGGGAATTTAAAGAAAGCTGTGGACCCTCTGATCAGAAACACACACAGACACAGACACAAGTAGTTCCCAAAGCTTCTCCCAGGTGAAAACCCTGCCTTTGGGAGCCAGGACAGCTGTGCATGTCCAGCCCAGGCCTTGCTAACAGATGTGGAAGGTGCTCTGGGCTCTCAGCCTTCCCACACCTTTGCTTTTTTCAGGCCAATGAGATGCTCTTCTGTGGGCGGAAGCTCACTGCCCAGGAGGCGTGCAGCAGAGGCCTGGTGTCCCAGGTCTTCTGGCCAACCACGTTCAGCCAGGAAGTCATGTTGCGGGTCAAGGAGATGGCATCCTGCAGCGCAGTGGTGAGTTCCCGTGTCTTTGTGTGCTTGTGCTTGTAACAGACCCATTTCACAGACGAGGTGATGAGGCTGGAAGGGGTCAACTGACTTGCCAGAGGTCATGCAGGGCGTGTGTAACACCACCACAGTGCCTCATCTCGGTGTTGAGAGCTTAAACCAGGAGAGAGAGAGAGAGAGTCTGCATTCTTAGATACATTCCCCATCATCTCCAGTTTGAAAACCACACGGCAGAGATTTATACTCAGAGGTAGAGTAGGTTGCCTTAAAAGAAAGTCCTAGACACACAGGAAAGCACAAAACATCTGTAGTTTTCAAAGAATATGAGACACAAAGGCAAATAAGGACCAAGGGTATTACACCATCCGAGAGATGAGAGAAACCAGCACACGCCACGCCTGCATTTCACTTCTGCCCACGGAGTGCTTGGCGCATGTAAGCATCACCACTGGACTCTGAAGACACACTGAGAAGTGGATAAATAAGTAACACCTCTGCAGAGGCGCCCAATTTTAATTAAGTGTCGATTTTATCTCATAAAAGTCACTCTGAGCACAGTATGGAAATATCCTGTAGAAAGGGGGAGTGGAGGCCGTTTCTGGAGCCACAGTGCTGGTCTAGGAAATGAGAAAGGTGATTTGGGAGAAAAGGGCCGGTGTGAGGGGGGGCCCCTGTGTGTGCTCCAGAGTCAGGGGGTTGCTGGGCTGCAGTTATGGGATCAGACCTGCGAGCACCTCTTCCTTCTCTCTGTCTGCCCCTCGCCCCCTTGCCCCCAGCTGCCATGCCGCTCATGATTTGCCTCCTCGGCCTCAACTGGACACCTACTGTGTGTACGCTCTGCTCCCTGGAAGCCAGTGATGATGGGGTGGCCGTGTGCCCGCATCGCTGGGGAACACATATTAAGGGCCATGCATTCTGCTGATCTCTTTCTGTGGATTCTCTTTTAAATTTTCCTGATAACTGTGGTGTCCAGCTCATCCCACTTTGCTTGGGACTCTTCCTGAATTGATCACAGACAATCCCATGTCTCAGGAATCCCCGGGCAGAAAAAGGCTGATGACCCCTACAATCCGCTGCATGGAGAGACACACGTAGACATTCTAAGCAGAGGAAGTGGTATGAGTGAGGTCACAGGAGTCCAAAAACCCCTGTGGGGTTTAGGCGGCAGCCCCCAGCGGTCTGTGCAGGTACACGGGGTGTTGGAGGGACATGAAAGCTGAAGAGGAAGGTAGGAGAAAGGCCTTGAGGCTCCCCCAAGGAGTCTGGCCTTTGGGCAGTGGAGGTGCTCCAGGAACGAGCTGTTGACGAAACGCTGCAAGCAAATGTCTCCTGTTGACGGTCCTGGAATCAGGAGCTTTGGAGAAAGGAACCTGCCTGAGAAAGAAACCTGCCTTACAGCCTGGGAGATGGTGTTCTTCAGGGGAATCCTTGCAAGGCAGGAGGCTGCCTCCAGCCTGGGCCAAGGAGGAAAATGCCAGCTCCCTGCCTGCCTGCTTGAGCAAGGAAGCTCCTGTCTCCCTTTTTCTATTGGAAAGCCCTTGGGGAGAGCGTGTGCGAAGCCTTGACATCAGCAGAGGAAGGTGGAGGCCAGGCCTCATGGCCCCACCATGGCTATGCCCGAGCGAGGCAGCGGCCCAGCCGGTTCAGCCAGGTGACTGCAGGCCACGTCCATCACACCTGGGCACCTGGACCTCCTTTATCTGTAACATGGCGACAAAAATACAACCTGTTTATGGAGTCATCATGAGGAAGAGATGAGAGAAAGCAGGGAGAGTGCTTCTCAGGCAGGCTGTTGGTCAGTAGTGCTTGTGGGGGCATTGTTACCATTCCGCTGATCAGTCCGGTCCTTGTCACTCGTAACTAGGATGCTGTGATGACTGTTCTTACCACTAGTACCGGCCTCACTGCAATTGCTGCCGTGTCACTGTCCTGATGCCATCGCATCCTCGCCACTGTTCCATTGTCTCCGCCACATTACTGACATTACCATTCTCATTGCTACTGTAGTCCTGTGGCGTTATTACTCTCTGTCACCACTGTTCTCCCCCTTCACTGCAATTATTGCGATTATCATTACGATTCTCACAACGATCACTACTGTTACTGCTGTTGCAATTGGTCAACAAGAGGCACCACGGGTGGGGCGGGGCCTGCGGATACTCTGACAGCTGTCCGTGTCCATTCATTATCTTACTCTGTGATTCCAACCATCCTTAAGCCGGGTATCATTGTTGCGGTTTCACAGCGAAGCCTGTGGAGGTGAAAGCAGTGTTTCCCAAACTTTTTCATGCTACCTGTAGAAAATGATTCTGAGTGTATGTCAGACCCTCGGGGAAAGGACAAAACTCTCGCAGTCGGGGGTAACGTGGGCCCCACCCAGCCATCCCAGGGGCCGAGGGCTCAACATCTTTGCATGCCTGGAACCCATTCCTGGCATCGGTGGGGACACAGGCTTGGGAAGTTCTGGACTGCAGGAGGCAGGCTCTTCTAGCTTTGGGCATCGGAAAGTTAGCTGGTGCGTCATAGGCCGAGTGCATTCTCCTGGAGACGAGTCCCCGGTGCCGGCTAACGAGGCTCATGCATTTCCCTTCAGGTGTTGGAGGAGTCGAAATGCCTCGTTCGGAGCTTCCTGAAATCTGTGCTGGAAGATGTGAACGAGAAAGAATGCCTCATGCTCAAGCAGCTCTGGAGCTCCTCCAAGGGCCTGGATTCCCTGTTCAGCTACCTGCAGGACAAAATTTACGAAGTCTGAGGAGCCCCAGGCCACTTGCCCCCATACTCGAGGGCACCTGACTTCCAGCTTCGCGCCGTGCCTCAGAGATCGGAGCACGGCTGTGCTGGCCAAGGAATCCGTCAAGGTGTCTCTCTTGTGTCCATTTCCTCGCGTCCTTTGGTTGTTCCGCATTGGTTTGGTTTTGTATAACGGATGGGAAACTCAGCATACTTGGCCTCCCCCAGCCCCCCCGCCCCTGCACTGGCTAGAGAGCTATCGAGGGCTATATCTTCCCAGGCCTCTGCCAGTCCCCACTCGCTGAAATGCACCATCCTGGTCCAGGAAGGGGAAGACTGATCTTCTCCTTCCTTCTGACTCAGGCTGTGTTTACACAGTGCCTCTGCTTTGGAGACTTGGCTGCATGGCTCTCTCCGGTCAAGTGCAGATCAGGTGATGGGGGACGGTCCACCTTAGGGAATTTCCAGACCGATGAGCGAAAGCGGTTGTGTCGAGCCAGCCTCAGTCTTCTCTCTGATGCAAATCTGTGTGACTTTTAGGGCTTGGTCTTAAAACCCAGTTGAGTGATTTGCAAACCCACATATTGTACGTTTAGGAATGTTTTGTTAAATATATATTTTTAAAACAACGTAAGTGGAAATTCTGATAATTTATGTGTATTATATGTAAAGCTAGTTTTACAAAAACATGAACTACTAGGAAAAAGGTTTTTTTTTCTTTAATCAACCTTATTTAAGTTATTTATTTTGTTTATATATTATGATATCTGTCGTTGACACAGATATTATTTTCCTACTGCCCTGGACCAAATCCCATATGAGGTTCATGCCGTTTGGTGTGTTCTAGCAATGAACCACGCAGAAATACAATTCAGAGAGATCCTTGTGGGTAAAAGGAATAGTTTTGCACCAGATTCTGTTCGTGTAAATGGTTCTCAGCTGTAATAATTGCCTACTTGTTGTTGGGAGAAATTATGGGAGAGTTTTTTCTTCACTCTGCTGCCTTGAACGAGATAAAGGGGCCTCCAGCCTGAATGGTACTGACACAGACCCAGTCCCTAATTTGTGACGTCAGGAAGAGCTAATCGGCCCTGCCTAGGGATTGCATGTTGTCTAGAATGAGCCTTTTCTCTTTGGGGCAAACGACGGAGCTTAGATTTTCAGAGTCCCTTTCTTCCATGTGGACAGCGGTGTCTGGTTTCGGCCGTCCAGGGAGGTGGGGAGCTGTCCGTTGAGCTGTCAGGAGGTGTGAATCATTTACTTACATCAGGGAGAAATAACCAGGGATGAGGTCTCCTGTCCCAGGGTCGCTGGGCTGCATGGAGACCCCAGTATCTGAATTTAGACCATCGACCCAAAGTCCATGGATCAGCCGCAGAGAAGGGGTGGAGTTGTTTTCGATCTGGGTTTCCCTCTGTGCTCAACAGCCCATCTCAGCCCTTGTTGCACACAGCGAGTGGAGCAGTGAGTGCCGGGGCACCTTGGGGGAGGGGAGGCAGGTTGAGAACAGGGAGCGCCATTGCCACAGTTTCCTGTCTCCCTCTGGCCCTTTCTCTTTTAAAGGTGAGCAGATGCAATGGGAGGGGGATTCACAGCCCTGAGCTCTGTGTTTTAAGAACAGGTTGAGCATCTACACTATGGCGAGAGGCGTGGTCTTGTAGACGGTGCAAGTGACGTTCATCTGGACATGATCCTTACAATGGCCGGGGTTCCCTCTATAGATAGCCTCTCTCCTTTTGAGTTGCCCATGACCTTAGGAGGGTCAGGGAAGGGGAGGCTTCTTGCCTTCCCCTCTCCTTCTCCTAGCTCTGCTTGGCCCCCTGGGATCCCGCAGAAACCGCAGACCTTGGCCGCGGGGGATTACTTCGGGGAAACACCTGCTTTTGCCCAGATGCCTGCCGTCCTGTCTCCACTTGGGTTTTGTCTCTTCCTCTGAGAAAGCAGACAGATGCTCTCCCCAAGCCCCTGGACAGACATCGTTCTCGTGTGTCGTGCAGATAATCTCTCCCCCACTGCTAAATCCTCTGAAGAAAGAGCCCCGAGCTTTCTGTGTACTTTTTTGGGGGAAACGGTTTCCTGTCTATGGAAGCAGTGTCTGGATTCCCATTAGGATGGCAGAGGATGTTTGGAAGTTCCTTTGGATCAGTGTCCATCTCTGTTCTCTGCGGAAAGAACCCGAAATGCTGTAGCTTCGGCCATATCACAGATCCAAACTTCTGACCGTTTGAAGGATCTCTGATGATAAGGTCAGAATAGGAAACCGTTACGAGGGTAGAGTTCCTGGCTGTCCGTTCGTAGGTTCTGGGTACGACAGGAGGTGCCTTAAAGGATGGTCTGTGTTTGGTTGTTTCTATGCAGTCTATTCGAGGAGAATGTTCCACCAATTGGGTAGAAGTAGGTTAAATCTGTTTGCTGTGGGGTAGACCGCATGGCTGAGTTCTCCACTTTCTGGATAGTTGTTTTGATACTGTGAAGATGAAATCAAGGTAACTTTTGGCAATTTGACCTGGGATGGAAAATGCGAGACCTGTGGATGTGTCTGTGTTTATCCTAACAGCTTTCTTGAGATGAGGGGCTCAGGCTTTCACTTCTTATCTTCAGGCACACAGCCCTCTCTCCGCCCATAGCATCCTTTCTGCCCTCTCCGTACCCTGCTTCGCCTCCACACCACTCTGTCTGTCCCTTTCCAGAGCGGGGGCGGGTCTCTGAGGAATTGTGCCGGGTCTTGGCAGACCTAACCCAGAATGACCTTTGGAGTCGGAAGGACAGCTACGGGTGGGAAGTTAGTCGAGGGTACTTCTGCAGTCAAGGGACCCTCTAGGCAGCCCGCTCCTTGCCATCCTGTCAGCCATGAGTTAGAATTCCCCCCCACCCCCTGCTCCAACCCCTGGTGATCAGCCCCTAGCATCTTGTAGTGGAGCCACTGGACTTAGTGCTCCTGTTCTGAGAGGACTTTGTGCAGAACTTTGCCACGGTGGCCAGAGCTCCCTCCCCACCATTCGAAAACCTTGCGCTAGTGCTGATGCACCCACGTGCGCCATTCTGTTTTCAAATAGTGTCTGTGAGCAAAAACCATCAAGAATTACCCTCTAAGAATGAAATCGAGTAGCTTTGAGAAGGTAGCAGAGAATTGATTTAAAATGTTATTCTTGTTCAGTATAGACACAGCTAGGAAATTTTCTCTCTGAAGCATGACGATAGGTTTTTTTCCCTATGAAGTTTGGTGTGAGGATGGAAAAGTAATAGTCAAAATGGACTCTGATCAATGCAACTGTAGCTGCAAATATCCACGTTTAAAAATAGCCTTGACTGAATGTTGAATGGCATTTCCCATTAACTGTTGGTTTAGAAAATTTTGTAAACTTTTTTTAATTTGAAATTGAGTCACATTCATGCAATTTTCCAATCTAGTTTCTGTGGAAAAAAAATTTTTTAAGAGAAACAAAGAGAAACGTCTTCAAATCTTCCTACGTGAATATTTAAAATGCAGAACTGCTTCTCTTCTGTGTTTCTGTATTCAGACACTTAGGTCTGTTGTACATATTAGTTTAGACACTCTCACTAATATACACAGTATTTAAGACTCTAAATGAGATTTCTTAAGTATTTTATTTTATTCTCTGTAAATGGTTTTGTATAATCTTTAAAAATCTACACTTTGCCTTTGTAGATATTTAAGGGAAACCATTTGGAGGTTGTCTTGCATGTATATTTTTGTTGTAGATAAGTGTTGCTCAGTTATTTCTGCAGATTTTGGTTGAAATGCTTACAGACTTTAATACAGTATATATTTTCAGAATATAAACTTTTATATTTCTGTGGTAAGTTAGGATATGCGTTTTAGGCAATCTTTTCCATTAATATCACTTGTTCTTTCAAAAAATAGCATACTGGTTTGGTGCCAATTTGGTTTTAGTTTACTTTTTCATTAGAATCTACTGCTCTCATATTGTCAGAGAGCAGCTTTAGTCTCTTTTTCTCAAAGCAGTTAAGTTTGAAGTATAATTTGAAAATGTATTGAATTTGTGGATAAGCCTTACCATTAGGATCAGTAAATTTTCCAACCTTTTGCAACTACATATGTAGTTTAGGACCTCCCCATAAAGTCTCACTGTGTGGCAGTTGATGGAGTCTGTGAACAGAGCCTTAAGCTTGTTGCAAAAAAATAAAAATAAGGGTAATACGGGTTGTTTCTTCCAAGTAACATAAGCCATGTTGATGGACTCAATACAGTCTGTGAATCATGGCTAATCTGAAGAGTTTGGTTGAGCTGACGGCAGCAGGGGCCAGATAGGCACCTTGGTGATTATCTTTCACCATACGAATGGACCAAGGACAGGTTTTCCGGAGCCACCTTCGTACTGTTCACATGGTTTAGGTGTGGTCACAGGGAGGGCTTGCTGGTCTATCATTTGTTCTGAACAAATGATATTTTCTGCTCTTGACCTTGGGGGTTGACCCCAGGGCCCTTGTCATTGACCTGGAACCGTCCAGCCAGGCTGAGGTCAGCACTCCTTGAGAGATGTTAACAAAGTTTACATGTGAGTCTTACTGTGTAGACAATCTGAAGTCAATTTCAGTTACTTAATCAGCATTCCCACGTGCCCCGAGTGTCTTATCAATGAACTGTGCATGTTAAGCCATACTAAACTTGAGGTTAGCAGGGCAAAGGCAAACTAGATGAATAGCATCACATCAGCTGAGTCCGTTCACCAGGGGCCGTTTTAATGGAGTGTAAGTCATGGAGCTCATTGGTAGTGCATCTACTGTGTCCGAGGCCCAGCAAAACCATCTGGAATTTGGACGTAAATTTTTATCAAAAGTTACAATTCCTTTCGGTTGGCCACACTTCCATAGGCCACACTTCCATAGCTCCCGGCTGATTCTCCTAACAGGCTTTACAGATGACTTGAGACCAGGGCTATCGTATGGCTAAAGTCAAGTTATTGAGTTCAGCACTAGTAAGCGTTCAGAAGGTCTACCATCAGGATGGAGATTTGCTTCCGATGTCCGCAGTGTGTGCGGCAGTCAGAAGCACCGACATCTGATCTTAAGCCTCGGCTCTGGTGTCTCTCTGGGTTAGCCGTGCCTCAGTGGCCCAGCACCTGTCCTGACGCTGGAGCTCATTCAGGGGGCTCCGGGAAATTTGGAGGGCGTAGAGCGTTCCATCTGGTATTAAACTTGTCCCTGTGCCATGAGTCCCAGCTGGAAGTCATTTGCTGATGTCCACGTTGACAGGATTGTGAAAATATTGCCTTTCAATAAAACCAAGGACCAAAGAATTCCATTATTCCAACAAAACACAAGTTTCATAGACTGTGGGCACATCCAGACAGAGGTGGGCATGCTTTATGGCACAGAGAAGCTGCTCGCTTCCACCAACCTGGCTGGCCATGCAGAGGGATTTATCACCTTGAGAAGGCTCTGGAAGACGAGTTTCTCAGATTGAAACTTGGGATCTCAGGTGGGTGTTTCTGCTGTGCAGTCCCAGCCTTTATCCATATCATAGAAGGTGGAAGTCTGGCATTCTTCCAGATGAGCTGACCAGTGTAGATGGTTCCATCAGAATCGGGACCTCCTGTGTGAGTTTTTAAAAATGCGTCTACACTGTGCAGCATCCTGCAGTTGCTAAATTTCCACCTCCTTTTGTTCTTCATTGACCCATTCCAATGTCCTGTTTGGCATGAGAAGAATTTCCCTCAATTCTCACACCAAGGGATGCCCCATTTCTCATTCATGATGAAATCACCGATCCATTAACAGGTTGAGAAATGATTGACGCTTACGAAGTGACATTCTAGTGGTAAGGCTTATTACCAAACTTCTGATAATGAAGCAGGCTACCAAAAACTTCTCCAGCCCACCCTAAGAGTGTTTGGATTTGATCATGGGTGTAGCACGCGCACCAGAATCCAAGGAGACCTTTGCAAATTAGGCTACTCGTTTTATTTTGCCAGGTTATCATGGGAGAGTCTTTAACTAGTTCTGAATATTTGTAAGTATGAGTACTTCATAGAATTATAAAGCAGGTACAGCTGACCCTTTCTCACTGCGCTGTAAATATTTCCCGAGACTGGGTGCAGTACTGAGGGATAATAATCTTCTGACTTATCAAATGCTGACTGTCTAGAGCAAATTGTACACTCTCTTTGTGAATGGTCCTGTAACGTGTATGAACACATTTCTGGGTGCCTTAGAAGTTGTATTTTTCATGTGTGCTAATATGCAGTATTTATACATTGTGAGAAGCTGCTTTGAATAAAAAGGTTGAAACTTCGTCGGCATTTGCTTGTGTACATGAAACTCGCAAACTGTGGTTTCTGAACAGAGAAGTTTCTGGGCTCCCAGGGGGTTGGAACACCTGATGCTTCTAGCTTGTGTCTGGGCTCCCAGCTTGAGGTTTCAGTGATTCAGGCGGGTAGTCACCGGGCAGCACCAGCTTGACACTAGAGGACCATAGAATGGGGGTTGGGGGGGAGGGGTTATCATTCGTGGGGGATTGATATGAACATTCATCCCTTCCCCGGTCTTCGTGGAAGGTTACTCATATAGAGCTGCCTCCTCACCAAAGATAACCCCCCATAGAGCTCGATCTTGCACAAGTCTACTGCCACATGTGGCTAGCGACAATATTTGTCACTATGGAATTACCTAAAACCCTTCTGTGTGCATAATCTTGTTGCTTTGATCATCACCACGTGGGTCTTATGAGAGGCACGTTGAGAGGGGGCCCGTGGCCTCCAAGGCTTTGTCCTGGCGACATCACAGGGGATGTGGGAGAGGAAGAACAAATTTTTCCAGGATTTATGGCAAAAGGGGATCCTGGGAAAGGAATTCGCCCAAGGTCAAGGTCTAACCATCTGTCTATCCAGCAGCGGTATTGAGACTCCTGCTCTGTCTCAGATGCCACATTGGTGCTGGAAGGCAGGGATTACTCAGACGGTCCCTGTCACATGGGAGCTTGGGGTCTAGGAACTTGGGAAAGGTGGGTACACCTTATCCCAATTCTCAAACTACCCATGATGCAGTAATGGAGAGGACACCTTCCCACGCAATTGTGAGCACCCTCAGAGTGGAGAAGATGGTGCACCACTGATGGCTCTTTCTCCCCCACGTCAATGATGGTGTCCTCATCATCGTCTTCATTGTTGCTCTGTGTGCCTCCTTGCCCTTCTGCAAGCTCCTGTCTCTATCCTAAGTGGTCAAGGTCACCCTGGAAAGCCCTTTACTCCTAACTGCCTCTGGTCATTCCAACAGCCTGGATGAGGCCTTTCTGCTGTTCCGAGTGTGGCATCTATAAAACAAACCTTGTGCCGTTGGCTTCCTCTCATAGGTTAACTGATGTGACATTCTGCTCCAGAGCCCCTTCACCAATTAGCAAGAGGAAACAAAGAACAGAGCAGGGCTGGGACTCCCATCCAGTCAATTAAACGACTCACCATTGTAGTGAATAAGCAGGAACAGAGTGTAATCCCCAAAAGCAACTTCATTATTTTTTTCTCACTGTCCCTTTTAAGTCTGGTTCTTGGGATACCCCTGATCCTAGATGAAAACACAGGTAGGCTGCAGGACCTTTCTGGTAAATCATAGTTCCCTAAAGTCACAAACACAGTCTCAATTCAAAAATTATGGGGGTGGGAGGGCTAAGGAAAATAGGGGAGTGAGAGTAAGAGGTACAAAGTTCCAATTACAAAATAAATAAATCACGGGGGTGAAAAGAACAACATAGGGAATGTGGTCAGTAGTATTGTGATAACTTTGTGTAGTGACAGACGGTTACTACACTTACGTGCGAGCACTGTGTAATGTACCGAATTGTTGAATCATTATGTTATACACCTGAAACTAATCTAATATCATATGTCAACTATACTTGAATTAAAAAAAAAATAGCTAATTAAAAAAATGGCCTTGTTCCATTTAAGAATCAATGTTTTTGACGTTGTTCAAGGTTAAGACTCTACTCTAGCTGAGCCTCACTGCGCTCTCTGGTTGTGCCGGAGGAGAGCAGGGAAGAGTTGACAGGGACCAAATTGTGTTGTTGCCTTATGGGGGATTTTGTTCTGCGGGTCTCACAGATATTTATACCTGACTCGCTCTCACAGGGAACCTGTATGGGCTTCTAGACAACCTCCTTCAGCTGATGGTGGCCAGTCTCTGAAAATTGTCAAATGAACCCTATATGATCAGCTCATCAGTCCGTCTTCAGCCCCTAGGAATCTGTTTCTGCAGCTTTGTTCATCCTCCAGATGAAGTCTTTTGGGCCCTTTAGGACAAGATGGTCCCCAAGCCAGCCCTTTGCCAAGCCCAGGTCACATGTGGCTCATGGGAAGCACTCAGGCACTTTCTACGCAAGCAGATACTAACTCCTGAAGATCAGTGAGTGTCTTACTGGTGGAGTAGCTGGTCATCCTAAGTCTCTTGTCCACAGAATTTCTCAAGCATGTGTCAGATGCCAATCCACTGCATCCGCTACGTTTTAGGGGGTGCATATGAAAGCACCCCATTGTGAAGCCCCATTCCCCATTGATTTCAGATGAAAAGGGAGCCCTCCTCATTTACTTTCCAGGTGTGTGTGTGTCGTGGTGGGTGGAATTCCAAAGAAATTCTTACAAGCCCTTTTTAATAAATGTTAGACGCATTATACCTAGAAAAAACTCAGGCTCTTATACGTGGTGAATTCAACATGTTGGTGAGTCTTTATAGGGGAGGCATATGCTGTAGGGCCTTGTGGGTTGTGGTAAGGACTCAACTTTCCCTGTAAGTGAGGATGGGACCCCCTGGAGGATCTGGAAGGGAATAGCCTGGGCTGACTTGTGATTTAACAGATTCGCCCTAGGACAGTAGGCAAAAGTGGGGTGAGGGCAAGGAGGCTGGTAGGTAGAAGACTTGCCATTGTCCATCCACCTGTAATGAAGGCTTGAAATGGGGATGGGGCAGTTGAAGTGGTGAGAAGGAGTGAAGTCCTAGCTTATTTTGAAGGCAGACCAAGATCTGGTTGTGGAGTCAGAGAGAGAGAGAGGAGTCAAGGGCGAGCCTGGGACTCGGGACATGAGCAGCTGAATGCTGGAACTGCCCCTAACTGAGGCAGTTGCAGCTCTGGGCTTTGGTAGAGCAGGTCCGGGTGGGGGGTACCAGGAGCTCTGCCGAGACCCGGTATCACGTGCGCATGTGTTTGAGCTTGCCCAGTCTGTGGGGATTGTAGCTGTGTCTGCCTCGCAGGGATTTTTTGTTCTAAATGATTAAATGATATTTACATACATACACATATGTGAGTGTATTATATATGAGATTTTATACATAAGAGATGTATTTAAATATATAAATGACATTAATAAGTAAACTTGGATTGCATAGATAATATTTAAAACAGTTGTTAGCATATATCCTTTTTAATGATTACATCATATTTGCATAATGAAATTTATTTATATAAACGATATTACACATATAGTGTTTGAAACACTTGCTAACATATATTCACTCATGAGATTCTTACATATAAGCAAGATTTTATATATATAAGATTTACATAAGTGAAATCATATGTGAATATCATTGCATATAATTTTTAGAACAGTTGACAGTCACAAATGATTTAATGTGATTTACGTATGTGTGATGTTTTACATATATAAGATTTATGCAAATATATGGAAGATATAAATGAGATTATATACATACATGAATGAGATTTTATCTAAATATAAAATGTTCTGAAAATTCATTGGTACATAACCACTCTGTAGTGATGAAATGAGCTTTACATATATGCATGAGATTATATATGTATTAGATTTATCTAAAATATGAGATTAGAAGGGTGCCTGGGTGGCTCAGTCAATCAAGCAACAGGCTCTTGGTTTTAACTCAGGTCATGCTTTCATGGTTCATGAGTTCGAGCCCCGCGTCAGTCTCTGTGCTGGCAGTGTGGAGCCTGCTTGGTGCTCTCTCTATCTGCCTCTCTCTCTGCTCCTCCTGTGATTTTTCTCTCTCTAAATAAATAGGTAAACTTAAAAAACATAAAATATGAGGTTAGATGGATACCTACATAATACCCCCCCCCCCAATATCTTCAGGACCACCATCGGCACGGCATTGCTGCTTAATCAATAGTAGCCATATTAATACTTATCCTGGCAACTGCCATGGGCAGAGGCTGGAGACACCAGTCAGGGAACTCAGTGCAGGTGTGTTCTGGTGCGAGTATATGCAGGCCCGGGCCCAGGAGAAAGTTGGGCAGGATGGGTCAAGTCCCTGTGGTTTCTCACACGAGGACTTGTTTCTGATGGTAGCCAAATGGGGTGTTGTCTCCAGAGAAGTTCCCTGGCTGTGACACCCTGTCATGTCCTCCGTGCTGGCCCCTGTGTTGCCGTCTCTATGTGAGGCTCGCACTGCCTTTCCTGGAGTCGTCATAAGGATTAAATACAAGCTCTGAGAAATCCGGTGCACCTTCCCTGAGGGGTTCCATAGAGCAGCCCCATGAGAAGCCCTTGGATTTGGAGGTATCCAGGGATGTCTGTACTTCTCCATTCTCCCCATCCTTTCCTATATGCAGATGTGGTGGCACTGAACCAGAGATGGACCGGGAATGTTCCTAAGCTGTGGTGTGAATGAGTGCCCTTGGGCACGGAGCCACATGGGGGAAGTTGACATCCAGGAGGGGATGAGCCCAATCAGGGCACCAAGCTGGAGTGGCTGGCCTAGGGCCAGCACCCAGTGACAGAATGGACAACCCCTGTTGTCCGAGAACCACTGTGGGAGGTTCAGGATGGGGGGGAGGAGGGGGACCTGGTGTACTTTCATAGGACAACTGCCATCTTGCCCAGGGACAGGGAGGGCACCAGGTGGGTGTGAAGTGCTGTTGTGTGTATGACTCAACAGTTCCTCCTCCCGGACTGTCCATTTGTAAGAAATGTGGAGAGATGGTGATGAAAAGCGACTGCCTGAATCAAAGACCAGAATGTTAGAGATTTGTAGGTCATAGTGGAAAGAGTGTGATTTGAAGCCAGACAACCTTGAGATTGAAATCTCTTATTTGGTTTCAGTGAATGACACAGTCTTGATTTCCTAATCTGTACAATGGGCATAGTAACTCCTACTACTGGTTATCATGAGGCTTATGTGAGCCGAAGGCAGAAGGTGCCTGGAAGAGAGGAGCAGATGTGTCTCCTAAGTGCTGATTCCCTAACATTCACCTTCTCCCCTTTCCCATAAGAGCAACGGAAACCTGGTTAAAGAGTGAGGGAGGGTAGGAAGGGGCCACCTGGGAGGCAG